CGCTGCGACCTCAAGTTCGACTGCGACGACAAGACGGATGAGCGCTACTGTGACATCATCAATTTTCCAGAAGACTACAGGTCGAAGCTCCCGCCAAGGCCAGGTGAGCATCGCAAATTGTCCATTTTTCCACAGGTGTTTATAAAGTAAACAAATATACAACTGCAATAGTGTCAAGATCATGGTAAATAAGATTAGAATACAATTCATAACAAGTAAAAAGGGAAAAAACGAAGCTTAAAAAGAAATGGTACCTTTAAGGATGACCATTCCTTATCCCTGACTCCTGCCGCCCCTCATGAGTAGCTCCCCCCCCTCCCCCAGCCTCCGACTCCTCCCTCCCGATCGCCCTCGACGTGACGATGGACACCCTCAACATCGACACCACCACCATGCTGCTCTCCGTCAGCTACAACCTGCGGATGACGTGGTTCGACAACAGACTCACCTTCAACAACCTCAAGAACTTGACGCGACTCAACACGGGTGAGGCGCGCGGTCGGAGGCCTTCGCGTTGAGGACTCGTAACTTAATTAGATCAATAACCATTTGTTTTTTATAAGTACGTGCCTTTCTTTGTCATTAGAATGTGTTTAACAAGCAGTCAACAGTAGAGCAGCTTTTGACTGAGACTCTCCTCCTCCTTCCTCTCCTTCCTTCTCCCTCTCCTCCTCCTTCTTCTCCTTCTCTTCTCCCTCCTCCCCTTGCTTTTCCTTTTCCTCCTCTTTCTCTCCCGCCTCTCTCCCCTCTCCTCCTCCTCCTCCTTCTTCATCTTCTCTTCCTCCTTCTTCCTCCCCTTCCTTCTCCTTCTCCTTCCCCGCCCGCAGTGTCGCTGGATCAGGTGGCGGGGCTGTGGCGTCCGCGCCTCGGCTTCATCAACACGGACGACATCCAGAACACGGCGGTCGACGCGGACGCCGTCACGACCGTCGTCAAGCTCGACCAGACCTTCGCGCCCGACCTCTCCAACCCTTACGAAGGTGGCTGACGATGGTGTCGATGCTAGCACGTACTTCTTATAAGCAAGAAGGCGTAAAACCTCTAAGCAAGGAGGCGTAAAATCGTGATGGTGGTGGCTTTCGTATCAAATAGTAGTAGCAATGATATAGTAAGAGCAGTAAGCATAGAATCCGAAGCAAAACTATTATTAAATTAATTCTCTTCGCAGTGGATCTGCATGGCGATGGCTTTCGTATCAAATAGCCTTAGCAATGATATGGAGTAAGAATAGTATGCATAGACTCCAAACTATTATCAAATTCCTTCTCGAGAGCAGTGTTTAGAATCCAAGGCAAAGCTATTATTAAGCTCATTCTCGAGAGCAGTAAGTGTAGAATCCAAGGCAAACTATTATTAAGTTCATTTTTGAGAGCAGTGTTTAGAATCTAAGGCAAAGCTATTGTTAAGCTCATTCTCGAGAGCAGTAAGTTTAGAATCCAAATCAAAACTATTATTAAATTAATTCTCGAGAGCAGTAAGTTTAGAATCCAAATCAAAACTATTATTAAATTAATTATCGAAAACAGTAAGTTTAGAATCCAAATCAAAACTATTATTAAATTAATTCTCGAGAGCAGTGAGTTTAGAATCCAAGGCAAAACTATCATTAAATTCTTTCTCCAATCCCTCCGCAGTGGAGGTCTACCGAGGGGACACCAACCCCATCTCCAGTACGAGGAAGTATAGCACTGTCTACACCTGCAACTTCGACCTGGTTCTCTATCCCTTCGACATCCAGTTCTGTTACATGAAGCTCCAGATCCTCTCAGCTTCTTCGGAGTATCTCATCTTCAATTCTCGCGGTCAGTGGAGATCATGCTGTAAGAATTTGAGGTTTTAAAGGTTGGATTCTGAAAGTCTTGAATATTCTTTGAATCTTCTTTTTCTCTTTTTTCTTTATAGACGATCATTTCCTCTTTGTAAATCTTCGTAGCTTAAGCGTCTTCCTCTTCTGTGTGCCGTATTTTCGTTTCTTCCGTATCTTGATTTCTCAATTCTTTATTTTATCAATATTTTTTAATGAATTCCAGTCCCTATATATATGTTTAGACATTTTTTTTTTTACTTCGCCCTTCCCTCTCTCTTTACCTCTGGCATCCTTAACCTTCTCTATTCCCTTCCTTTTCTTCCTCTTTTTATGTCTCCCATCCCCCTCATTCTACTTCGTCTTTACCATTCTCTCTACTCCACTTTCCCTTCACTTTACCTCTTCCCTCCCTTTATACTTTCTCCTCTCTCTCTCTCTCTGCCTTCCTTCCCCGTCACTCTACTCCTCTTCTTTTCCATTCTCTCTGCTCCTCCTTTCCCTTCCCTCTACCTTTCTTCTCCCCTTCTACTTTCCACCTCTCTCTACCCCTTCTTACCCATTCCCTCTGCCTCTTCTCTCTCTCTGTCTCTCCCTCCCTTCCCTCCTCTACCTGTCTTTTCCCCTTCTACTTCCCTCTGCCTCTCCTATCTGTCTCTCCCTTCCCTCTTCCTCTCTCCCCCTTCCCTCTACCTC